AGATTGAAAAACTTTAGAATAAATTCAATAAATTCCAAATCCAAGAAGGATATTTACAAAAAACATAAACCAATTTGTAGCATTCAATCATTTAATTTTTACAATTTTCAAAAACAAATACATACAACCTAGCATTAAATACATAACACGCATACATATAATTTTCAAACCCATCCAGATTTGAACAGAATGCCTAAACTACATATCTTTTCAACCAGATTTCTCTATCCCACTCTCTTATCCAAACCCAAATACACCGGACTTCATGTGTGTGTTATGGGGTGTAGGTAGAGACAGAGAGGAAGGGAGAGAGAGAGCTATCGAGGAAAGAGAAAGGTTTTGGGTGAATGAGCGTGTCAATTCATATGGAATAGGGAGATAAAGTTAGATAAGAGATAGAAGTCTTAGAGTTAATGAGAGAGATAGTTGTATTAGTTAATATGAGATAGGGAGAGAGAGTTAGATGAGAAATAGCAATCTTAGAAAAATTTTGCATGAAGACCGTCAGATCAATAATTATTAATTGATCTGAGTCGCGAAAAGCTCAAGGACGAGCTCATTCGACAGTCTCAAATAGACTTGTCAAACGATCACCAACATCTCTCTCAAAACAATTCACATTGAATATCCTCTGCAAATTTATCACTTCTCACTTATGTTACTAGTTACCCCTAGTCAAAGTGGCTTAAAAAAATTTGAAACCTAAAACGAAAACACTAAATGAGAGTCTTTTTTTTTTTCAATATTAATTTTTGTAATTATTTTTTTAAAAAATTAATTTATTTTAAATTTATTATGTGAGAGAGAGAGAGAGATAGAAGAAGGACATGCTAGTGTTGTCGAAAAAAATATTTTTAACTTTTTTTTATCAGAGAGAATGACTAATTTTAACTTTTTTTAATGTTTTTTACTTATTTTTATAGAGAGAAAGTCGGTAAAGATAAATATATGTTGACTTTTGAGTATTTTTTTTAATTATTTTTAGGTGTCTAATGTTATAAGTTGGATCATGGACCCAAATTATTATAATAAAAAGGGTTAATTACAAATTGCATCCTAAAAGATCATTCAAATCTCAATTTGTACCATCAAGGATAAAAAATCTCAATTTGTACTCTCAAAGATAGAAATTTGTATCAATGTGCACTCCCAAAAATCAAAAATCTCAATTTGCACCCTCAAAGATAAAAATTTGTATCAATGTGTATCCCAAATGATCAAAAATCTCAATTTGCATCCTCAAGGATAGAAATTTGTATCAATGTGTACCTAAAACTAAATTAAAAAATTATACTTAGATCCTTTTATGTTTGTCACTTAATCATTTGGATCTCTTCACATTTAGACTATTACTTCTACATCTCATGACGTTTGTGTACGTGTCACACGTAACCCTTTTTCATTGATATCTGTTAATATAACCGTTAAAAAATATAATTTTATCTTAATAAAAAATTATAATTTCATATTTTAATTAAATATATATATGATGCAATTGGTAATGGCGATGTCTGTAGTCGTGTTAGCATGTACCCTTTTTGTGGAAACTCTGAGAACTTGAAAAGTTGTTTGAAGTCAAGTCAATTCATATGAAGGGTACGCGTTGCTAATTTCCTCTGCTTCTTCATTATTATATCCGTTCCGGCGTTTTTCATTATCCTCCATTGTTTCACACTTATTCTTTCTAATAATAGAACTAGCATTTAACCCACAATGGACGGCCGTCCCTTCTCGTCTCAATTCCTTACACACCCTTTATTTATTTTTATTTATTATTTTACAAGTTAACAAAAATATTATCATTCAAGTTGACAGTCTAGTGATAAATCGGATCTATTTAAGATTGTCATTAACTCTCATGCAATTATGAAATAGAATCTGATTCACAGAAACAATGCGATTTACTGTTTAATAGAAGTAGGTTATTATCTCTCTCTTCGACGGCTATATATATCTAATAATAATAAAATATATTTTATACCCTTTAAAACTCTAATAACAATAACTATTATCTCTAACAAACAATTTAAATACACACTCTCTCATCTCTTATATAACTATCTCAATATCTCATACTCTCTCTCTCACACACACACACACTCAGAGCTACACATTACCAAAATTATCTATTGCTCGATGGATTTTCTCCTTTACCAAGTAAATATAGTAATGAATTTGTTCTTTTTAATTCATATTACAAATTAGACATTAAATATTTGTTCTTTTTAATAAATGTTTTTGTTGGTTTAGTTGTGGATGAGGTGTCATGATTTTATTATTATTAAATGTTATGTGTTAAATGTATATTGTTATTTTCAATGCTTCTTTACTCAGGGTTTGTAGTTTTGACATGATTTTGTTATTATTAAATGTTACGTGTTAAATGTGCTATTGCTATTTATTGTACTTTTTTACTCAAATATTTGTATGATTTTTTAGAATGAGAAAATATTTTAATGTTGGAAAAAGTTTCCTAGGTCGTAGACATTCAAAGCCAAGCTAATTACCAATAAAAAAAAAAAATTCAAAACTAAGATAATTACCAATAAAAAAATAACAAGCGGTACCAATTGAGAAAATATTCATTACAATGGTGATAACACATATCAATCTGATGTGGTATCACTTATTAATAATATTAAAATAAATAAATAAATGAACTCCACAAAATTTAATAACCAACTTGCTATATAAACAAATCACTTCAAGTGGGGTTTTTCGACACTGTTTTGAGGGTTTTTGAGAGATGATTTTGCGTACCATTGTAATGTGTTCTTATGGACTATTTATACTTTTCAGGACCCATAATTGCCAGTAGCCTAAGCAATAGGTAGCCTTCAGAGATGAGATAGTGCGCCCCATACTTTTCATGGGGAATGTCTCCATATTAATTGCTCGAACTGTTTGAGCATTCAATGCTCTTTCTTCAATGTTGAGGTATTGACTGCTCGGATCCCAGAGTATTTAATGTTTTTACTTCTTGATTTATCAAGCCATGCTAGATGTCTTGTCAATTGATAATGCATTAAATGCCTGTCTCTATTACCCGGATATCAATAGGGGATAGTCTTGTCTTTTTACCCCTTATCTTGTACCTTACGCCACGTGTCTGACTCTCTCTGGTTGAATATCCAGTTCAATCTGTCATTCTGACTACTTTATGCAGGGTATCATCACAGTCCCTAGTCTAGCTTAGACTACTTAGTTGTCAGTCACTAGCCTCCTAAAAAGCCGAGGGTCCATGGCAAGGCCGAAGAGAGTACCCTCAGGACTGAGGGAACACGTAATGGAGCCAAGGGACATGTTGGAGCTAAGTTTTAAGCATGGGAGTCTTCGGGCCGAGGACGCGTGTCGTTGATCTAAGACTTTTCTAGAAATGTCTCATCAATATGTCTGAAAGAAATTGGGGCAATTACATTAAGAAACCCAAATCCCAAACTAGTAATTGAAGAACCCCACAACATTTTGAGAACTTAGTAGAAATGATAACCCCAAGGGTAGTTCGCCCTAAGTAGCTAAGGTGCTTGTCTAGGGTCCCAAATTTTAAAATGCCCACAAAAATATTTACGACTTTAGTATAATATGCTTAATTTTTATATATATATATTTTAGATATGATCCATATTTTAAAAGTTTAAATTAATATTTAAGTGTGTTTGGTCCAAAATTATTCTCTACTTAGTTAAGCCCAAATTTTGGAGGCTCATAAAATTTATCCTTTTAGTATAATAGGCTTATATTTTTTTTTTTTTGGTATTTTAGATATAATTCAAATTTTTAGGATCCAAAATTAATAGTTCAATTCAATATCAACTCTTTATGAATTTTTATTCAAGTTTTTCTAGCTCTTTTGGTTGTATTTATAGTTGTATTCTTCTCACTTACATAAAAAATTTATACACATTATTTTTTGTGATTTATAAAATTGGTTCTTTTTTTATTAATATAAATTTATCCAAATAATTTATGCTTAAATTGTCTGTGTTATTAAAGTTTTGTACTTCATGCATGCATAAAATTTGTGGGTAATAAATGAATTGATGTATTAAAATTATTCTTTACTCACATATTTTATCATTAAATTATTTGTTCAAAATTTAAATTGATAAAATTTTATTTACGATCAACTAAAATTAGTTGAATTAACTATATTATCCATTGAGAAAGATTTATTTTCAAAATTTGAATATAAAAAACTTAATCAATATTTTTTTTTCAAAAAATAAAAAATATTAAATAAATAAAAAATAAATTAGAATATTATATATTAATAAAAAAAATATTAAAAGAGCCCCACATAAAAATTTTCGCCTAGGACCTCACTTTCCTTTGGACTGCCCCTAGGTCAAACTTGACAATACTTTAAGGTCAAACTCTGATTGATTTATTCTAAATGAATAATATAGTCCCGATATAGATGTTCTGTTTTTGAATAACACTTGGATGGTTATTAAATAATATGACAAAATAGTTACTAAAATATGTAAGATCCATTTGTCCACATGGTATCTTATCATTGAATGATTAGACTATGTCTGCATGATGACATGATAAAACGGTTCTGCACTTGGCTTCGTACTATTTCTCTCTCTCTCCCTCTTTTGATTTTGAGTAAATATTGAATGTAACGGTAATATTATATCACTACTGATAATATAATATCATCATCCAATAATAAAATTTCAAATGAGAAAGTTGAACCCAACTTAGGCTTACATGAGAGAAGAGTGGGGAGTTATTTGCTTACATGATATGCTAGTTATTGTTTTTTGTGAGGTTCATCTGTTTATATGTTCTAGTATTATTGGTTAGTAATACCACAATGTTCTAGTATTATTGGTTAGTAATACCACATCATCTTACGTTGTATCACCGATGTAATGAATATTTTCTCCTTCATTTCCTTATATTCAGCGGTCAAAATCTTCAAAATTCAAATACCCTTTTCTTGGTTGCTTAGAGTTTGCTTGGTAGATGCAGAGACTAGGGAAAGAAGCAATATGGGTGATTCTAAGACTCCGTTTTCCTCTAGCCCTTTGTGCCAAGAAGATATATTTCGGTCGAAGGGACACGAAGACAAAGATATAGACTTTAACCCATGTTCTATCTCCGAATCTGATGATGAGTATATGCAACAGCTATCCAGAAAGAGACCAATGTTGAGCCAATTAGCTCTGTATCTTACACTAATTTTTCATTTACGAGTTACCAAAATTGGTTGAAATTTTCTCGCTTGGATGCCATGAAATGGATTCTCGAAGTTTGTTCTCTCTCACACACACACACACACTCTACATATATATATTTCTTTCTGTTCGTATATACATTGTGTTCTGTCAAATATTTTGCTTGGGGTTTCAAGAATTTCTACATTTCGATGCAGTGCAGAGCATTCTTCGGTTTTCACTTCCGTACAATTTATCTGTCATTAATATACTTCGATCGGTTCTTTTCAAGGTGTGTTATAGAGGTAAGTATCTCTTCTTATATAAACATTTACATTGTGTATAAATCTGATTGTGTACTTGTGATTTGAGAATGCTGTCATTGATCTTGATAGAATGGGAAAATATGGAGTGTTCGATTAATATCGGTGGCCTGTTTATCATTGTCTGCGAAAATGGAGGAGCTTAAAGTACAACCATTATCTGAATATCACGTTGATGATCACAACTTTGAAGACAGTACGGTTAAGAAAATGGAACTAATGGGGCTGGATGCATTGGGATGGAAAATGGGTCCAACCCTTCCATTCGATTATCTCCACTATTTTGCTATCAAGTTCTGTGATGATTCTGAACGAAAAGAATTGATCTCCAAAGCTACTGAACTCATTATGGCTCTAACAAAAGGTAAATATAATTTAATGAGGATTTATTTCAATAAGGTATTGGACATAATGCACTTGTTTATCAATTGTCCGGTTTGATGCAGTGATTAATTTGTTGGAACATCGACCATTGATTATTGCTGCAGCAGCTGTCTTAGCAGCTTGTGAAGATCAATTGACAAAAGCATCAATGGAGTTGAAGATTAGTGTAATTACATCATGGGGGTCTCCAGAAAAAGTGAGTTTCTTAATACTTTGAGTCTTTGACAATTTAATAGCAAAACTATTATTGCTTGTTTTAGTTATATCTGACTGTGTCTCATTACATTGCACTTCGACAGCAGCATATATATTCCTGTTATGGCCTTTTGCGAAAAATGCCAGTAGGAAAATCTAATACTGGTAAATCAGACATTTCTCCAAATTTGTCGTCAACTCCTCCAATTCGTGAGAATTCTCCAATCACCTCGGGCATTGGCACTAGTAGAAGGAGATTGAGATACAATACCTCCGATCAACATTGTCCTGTTTCCAAGGAGCTGATTGATGGCACTACAGAATCTTTGTTATTGACAGTTGATTCTTACTATAAGATCGGATAATAGGTTTAGGGAAGTCAACAATATACCATATTATGATATGATTTGAAGTTGATGTGAAAATTATATTACGCAAGGCTCAACAAAGGTCCCAGCAAGTGACAACCGAGCAAATAGTGTAAAAGGTAGTAGAAAAATAAAGGTAAAGAGAGATAAACTTTGGCGTACAGTAAGAAGTAAGAAGCTGACTACAGTTCAAATTCTCATAATAGAGGAAGTGAGGGCTAAAGACATGTACATAAGGCCATCAAAGTCTGCTAATATTCATTTTTTGTAGTGTTTGCGAACGCTGCTAGTGCTCACCCACTTTTTGAATGTGTTGTATTTCTTTATTTCCTCCTTTTTTCTGGTTTTGATTGAGAATATCTGTGTACACATCACTTTCCCCCTTCTTTTGATGAGAAGGTTAGGGGGATGCTTCCTATGTCTTTCATAAGGCTGCAAGTCTAAGGAATGAGTTGTTTTTGTTTGATTTGATACATAACTGCCGGTATTTTTGGGTCATCAAAAAGTATGCTAATGTGAGTGTGGTCCAATTTGTTTGAATGGTTGTGCTTTTGTTTTCAGTGAGTAGGCAACTTCACTTTCACTGTTAAAATGTGATGAGTCTGGGGTCTTGGAACCCCAGAAATCATTTTGGGAATCTAAGGAGAGGTCTTTTGTGGTTCATATTGTTTTCTTGCGACTGATGTATTTGAATGTTGGATTAGATGGTTGCACAGAATAGGAGGATCAAGAAGGCAAACTTGTCATAAGGTTTGGTTGTAAGCAGCTTCGACGTAACCGAGTTGAGAATAACTTTTATGGTTTTGATAATGGAGATTCGTCTAAGCCACATGTCTTGAACTCGCCAAATCCATCTAGGATTGTAAACATATACTCATATTATACAAGGATTTGATAATCTAGTATTCTGTGCATAAACCGAACTCTACACACCAATTTATCTACAATGTAAAATATAAGACACACATACAAATCATATATTAAATATAATGTAAACATTTTTCCCATATATATTCTCAATAAAACAGAAAGAAATATTTTTTTATTAATAAAACGAGTTTCACTGCAAGAAACAAGTTTTTAGTATACTACTGTATCAATATCTTCACCAGTTTATTTTTAAGGAAGATCTATACCAACTTCAGTTTGCGGCTTGAGAATTTCTGACTCTTGTATGGTGAAAATTAAATATTAAAAAAAACTACATCTTAGATTTAAATGGGTTGATGATGTCCTCTTGAAGAAGCTCATAAGTTTTGTCCTATGTCAAACCCAAGTGCATTTAATTATCCAACATGACAAATAAGTTAAGTGAGATGGTCTTAAGGAATGAAAAAAGTCAATTAAATATAATTGTCGGTAATTTATTTAATTGATGGACATATGTAATCTTAAACGTGGGGAGATTATTAAGCATATAATAATAAGAAGCTCGAATATAATTTTGAGATAAGACTCAAGAGATCAATAATAAGTTTTTAGTGGACTGACTTATTATTAGGATGTTTTTTTTTGGTTGAACATAAAAATCCTAAGCTCATTGGAAGCCTAGTTTTTATTTCTTCTTAGGTTTTCTATCGTAGCCTATATACAGACGTCCAAACTCTCTAATTAAGCATCTATTCTTTACTCACATTTTTGAGAGAGGATGAAAGAGAGATCAAGGATTTGGAGGTCTTGGCAGCTCAAACTACATCCGGATGATGACGTTTGGGGATATACGATAAAAGGTTGCGAGGTTCGTCGAGCTGTCATTCAGTTGCTTGTTGTTATGTTCTGCGTTCGTACTAAGACGAGATCAATCCCGAGGGATTTCGAAGGTAAACCCTAATTCTGCCTTGTAGGGTTTTAAAGGAAAGTTTTTGATATTCAATACATACGCGCTATCAATGACTCTTGAGATTTCTGTTCCAACAGATGCAACTCAAAAATTTGATTTTTTTGACCACCATATCAGCATCCTCGAACATATTCAGACAAGATTCGAACCTAGTCAAACAAAATGCAAGTGCATTTGATCATTGAACCCTTATGGATGGATGTAAAATTAAAGATGCCAATATCAAAAGCTGTAATGTTAAGCTTTATCTTGGCTACTCATTGATCAACCTCTACTAACTTCCTAGAAGTTAAAACTGCTCAGTGTATAAGCTTACTCATTATACTTGCAAAACAAAGCATAGATATTCACACAAATTGTAGGATTAGAAAAGCCAACTTTAGGCGACAACCATATATATACATAACCAGTAAAATAAGTAGATACTATACAATATCAAACAAAAATAAAGAGTAAATTACACTTTATCCTCCTAAACTATTACCCTTATTTTACTTTGCACCCTCAACTATAAAACTTCTCACATTGTGCTTTAAAGTATCAAATTTGTTTCATATCACTCTAATAGATAACGACAAACTTAAAAATTTAAAAATTTGTCAAATGAGGGAGGGAAACCACAAAAAGCTTCTTGCTAAGTGCCTAGTACTACTTTACTTTGCCTCTTTTGCAAACAAATGGTTGCTAGGAAGACAAAGATTGCTGACCAGAGGAAGAAAATTTAGAGCTTAGAAAATACAAAGTCATGGATAGGCATTTTTCTTGATTTTAGACTTGCATATGTGCAATAGGCAATTACTTATTGGCAATGTAGACCACTCACTGTGCATTTACCTTCAAAAAATTGGCAGTCATTATCTATTGGAGTGATTTGAAACAAAATTGATACTTTATGGTGCAAAGTGAAATAAGGGTAATAGTTCAAGGGGTAAAGTGTAATTTACCCAAAAAATGGAGACAAAAGGTGAATAAACATATCTATGCAAAAGCTATTCTATTTCAGAAATCATAAAAAAATTACCCGAGTAAAATTAGAAATTAGAAATTAAATAACCCAATAATAAGAGTCTCATATTTCACACAGAAAGAAAGATTTGGGTGATTCATGAGTATTACCCTTCTATCTCATGAATCAAAAGAACTAAAGGTTCAAGCAAGTTTCATAAACTTTTGGGTCAATCAATAGAACTACAAAGACATTTTCGTCGGGTAAATAACTGCAGCTTTTAAGTCATTCCAATGCTAAATTGTCAAGTACCAATATTTCTTACGAGTCCTCAATTAATAGCCCTTTTCATATAGAAAAAAAATTCATAATTCACAATTAAAATTGAAATTGCTCAACGATTTTATGTGAAGTTCTATGCCCAGAATAACCCAGTTGGAATCATTCCCATGAACCCAAAGCCATAAGTATACCACTATATGTATAATCCCATAAGCTAGAATAATATCTTCACACGTCAAATTCATTTCAATTTAATCCCATAAAAAACAAGGACTACACAAATAACCAAATTTTCAACAAACCTACTAACTGAGGGATATCAGAAATTAAGAATCAGAATAATTTCATTGAACTCTATCTCCAAAAAGGTTCAGGCCAATGATTTTGCTCTATCTGTATGCCAAGAAACTATTAAAACTCTAATAACCCACCACTGAAACTATCAATATAAATATGAGAATAGGTAACTGATTTATATTGCAGATTAAATATTCTCACTTGTTTCATGATTGACACAAGTGATTCAACTTCAAATAGATAATTGACACAAATAATGTTAATCGAGTTGAGTTTTGTGAACTTGAATTTGAATCTATTAAACTCATTTTTTTAAGCGAGCCTAAAAAATTGTTCAAGTTCGGCTTACTTAGAATTCAAGCCGAGTCCAAGCCTGAACCGAATCCGAGCCGAACCCGAATAACTTGTCTATTTTATATATAAACGAGTGAATATGAGTGTTAATCGTGAAACTAGTTTTAGGCGGTACACAAATTAAACATTCTCACTTGTTTTAGGATTGACACAAGTGATTGAACTTTCAATAGATACCTGGCATAAGCGAATAGGAGTGTTAATTGAACTAAGATTTACGAGCTTAAGCTCAAGCCTGCTCAGCTCTTATCTTTAAACGAGCCTAAAAATTTGTTCAAGATCAGCTTGTTTAGAACTCAAGTTGAGCTCAAGTCTAGGCTGAACTCGAGCCGAACCTGAGTAACTCTTTTATTTTATATATAAACGAGCCGAGCTTTGCAAGGTTGAGCTAAGTTTTTAAGGCTCATTTTTTTAAATAAGTTTAAATTTGTTCAAGCTAAACTCGTTTAGAACATGTGTTGAGCTCGAGCCGAGTTTTATTCGAGCCGAGCCCGAGCAATTCATCTCGATTAACACCCCTATTGTCTAAGAAGAACACAATTTCAAAATCTGTTCTATCTCATATCTAAAAACTAAATTAAACTACATACATACAAGAAATGGATATAACAACATAAATGATCATTATAATCTGATCTCCTTACCTTATTGCTCTTAGAAAGTGCTAAGCAATTTGTAGTACTCGAAAAATTTTAAGACACATGTATCCATCATAACAGGACAAGTGGCAACGATTATCAGTTGACAAGGAAATGGGGCCCGACAGAGTTCATTTGGACTAGTATAAATAATAGTAACAAGTGCGGCATCTCTGGGCGTGACGCCCTAATAGCGTCAACTGGACTAGTGTAGATAATAATGCCATGCGTGATGCCCGAAGCACAACACTAATGCATGACACTTAAGGTGTGACGCCCCCTGGCCGTGATGCCCTTGGCTGTGATTCCCTCTTGGCGCGTGTAGAAAATAATGTCATGCATGAAGCCTAAAGGCATAACACTCATGCGTAACACCTAAGGTGCGACGCCCCTGGCCGCAACGCCCTCAGGCTCAATATCGCAACAGAGCGACATACATCCCCATTGCACTAGAAGTAGAAAAGTGGACCCTTCACCAAGGGTGGGCAAAAGTAGAATCGTAGAAGTATGAGACAACCTCGACGCAGCGCCCCTTGGCGCGATACCCCTTGCTGCGTTGCCCCTAGGCACGACGCCCTCAAGCACAATATTGCTTCAGGGTGAGATACATCTCTATCGTATTGGAAGTGGCAAAATGGAC